ATGAGAAAACTATCCACCAGAGTTCAATTAAGTGGATGTAAGCAATGCAATTACTTATTAGAGGCCAATGATAACCTGTAAATAATGAGAAAACCCATACCCTATACATGATATAGTCATCTATAAAAGACACCACAAACAAAATTTGGAAAAAAAACATCAATTCAAACTTCAAATATACTAGACTAATTTATAAAAAAAAAAAGTTATGAAAAAACAAATATGACGGACGTGAACCAACATCAACCACTGAACTATGTACAGGCTCCTGATTTTGGACAGGCAAAATATGGCAGGGTTGATATAAAGATAAGAAGCGGTATGATTGCCAATGAGACTTTTCTCCAATAGAGATCAAATGACATTAAATTTAACAAAATAAGTTCACTGTACAGCCTTCGACAATGAGCAAACCCTATACTGCATAGTAATCTATAAAAGGCCATGAAATAACAAATGTAAAACAATTCAAAAAGGGCATGGCGTCATTTAAAAAGGGCATGGTGTCTATCCATGCTAAACATGCTTGGGGGAAACACCACAAACAAAGGTGAAAGCTAAGTGCCTGATTTTTGCACAAAACAAACAAAAAACAAATATGATATATAGCAACAATTGACAACCACTGAATAATAGGCCCCTGACTTGGGACAGACACTTACAAAATGTGGCATGGTTTAACATGTTTGCTGGCGCCAAATCCTCCTATAAATAAGGACAGTGGTGTAAGTGTCAGTTCAATATAAAATCTATAAAATCAGTTGAAAAGGGTTTTTTTCTGCTCTTGGGTCAGGTTATTTTGATACATTCCCGTTTTCATTCTCAATTTTATTAACTCATTAGAATGCAACAAAGCAGAAAAACAGCTACAAAAAACACAGACCGGATGTGGCTGGAAATTTATTCTTTCCCTTTAAAAAAAAAGACTCAACATGCAGATCTATTAGTACTCACAGTTACTGACAGCTAATTCAAAGCAAATATCAACTAATAAAATAAACATTTAGTGAGCACCCAACCCACCCATAACCTGGGACAGTGGTTTTAATAACAGCACAACATTTGAACAAACTGTAAACATTTTTAAGTCTCCCAAACGAAGTTTGGGAAGACTTATTGTTTTTGCTCAGTTCTTATTATTCTTCTTCTTCTTCCGCCGCTTTTAAATTTGAAATTGTCCGCAACCGTTCTCCAAAACAGCTTGTCAGATTAACTTAGGGTTTTACAATATGTTAGACTAACATGTCTAGTGGTGCAATCAGGGTTTTGTTTGTGCAATGGGGTTTATAAAGGGGTACTTTGAGGGGCAAAAAGAAAAGAGGGTTTTACTATAGAACCCTATGGGATTTTATTTTTTAAAATTTTCAAATGATTATAAATTGTAAACCTTTCGTGATAGACACAATCTTTTTAATTGAAAATGTTCTAAATGATAAAGCCCATTAAATGAAATACAGGGTTAGTCCCCAGGGGTCACCCCCACCCCCTGCCATTAAAGAAAGTTCTAATACCTTGTAATTGGTCAAGATCCCCACCCTAAACCATATATATTCTGGTTTGTCATGCTAAGATGGTTTGAATGATATACAGGGTCAGTCCCCAGGGGTCATCCCCACCCCCTGCCATTTGAGAAAGTTCTAATATCTTGTAAATGGTCGAGATCCCCACCCCTAAACCATATATATTCTGGTTTGTCATGATAAAGTACATCAAATGTAATACAGGGTTAGTCCCCAGGGGTCACCCCCACCCCCTGCCATTTAAGAAAGTTCTAATATCGTGTAAGTGGTCAAGATCCCCACCCCTAAACCATATATATTCTGGTTTGTCATGCTAAGATGGTTTGAATGATATACAGGGTTAGTCCCCAGGGGTCACCCCTAAACCATATATATTCTGGTTTGTCATGCTAAGATGGTTTGAATGATATATAGGGTTAGTCCCCAGGGGTCATCCCGACCCCCTGCCATTTGAGAAAGTTCTAATATCTTGTAAATGGTCAAGATACCCACCCCTAAACCATATATATTCTGGTTTGTCATGATAAAGCACATCAAATGAAATACAGGGTTAGTCCCCAGGGGTCACCCCCACCCCCTGCCATTTAAGAAAGTTCTAATATCTTCTAAGTGGTCAAGATCCCCACCCCTAAACCATATATATTCTAGTTTGTCATGCGAAGATGGTTTGAATGATATACAGGGTTAGTCCCATGGGGTCATCTTCTAAGTGGTCAAGATCCACACCCCTAAACCATATATATTCTAGTTTGTCATGCGAAGATGGTTTGAATGATATACAGGGTTAGTCCCCAGGGGTCATCCCAACCCCCTGCCATTTGAGAAAGTTCTAATATCTTGTAAATGGTTGAGATCCCCACCCCTAAACCATATATATTCCTATTTGTCATGTCTTGAACATTTGAATGACGTATACGGTCAGTCCCCAGGGGTTCCCCCCACCCCCAATGTTCTAATATCTTGTAAATGGTTGAGATCCCCACCCCTAAACCATATATATTCCTGTTCGTCATGTAATGAACATTTGAATGACGTATAGGGCCAGTCCCCAGGGGTTCCTCCCCACCCCCAATATTCTAGTATCTTGTAAATGGTTGAGATCCCCACCCTTAAACCATATATATTCTGGTTTGTCATGCCAAGATGATTCGAATGATATACAAGGTTAGTCCCCAGGCATCACTAATGCATATAACTTTACTGGACCAAACCAATTTTCACTGGACGTTGCCCAATGTCAGGCGACCCTGGGAATTACGAATAATGGGAGCTTCGTTTGGGAGACTTCGTAACTGCATCCTGTTACAATCATTTCTTGTTTGCAATTGGCTTAACTCAAAAACTGCAACAAGGCACAAAAAACAACTAATATGAAAACCATAGACACAAAGCACTGAAATAAGAGTTCTTACAATTTTAAATATTCAAATGAAATTTTTATCAAAATGTACATAAACATGATAAAATAGCCATTTTGTTGCTGTATTTCTCTTCATTTATAATTTTTGAGTTTTGTGTATTTGTAGGTCAGACATCTTGGTTTTCATGATCATCATTCAACAGGTCAATACTGAACAGCAAACTTAAAGTTGATATTTTTCTACATAGTGTGAATTTTTTATTAATTTGAAATGGAATGTGTTTTTTTCCTACATAAGAAAGAGGAAATTTCAACATAATGACTATAAACAAAAAGGAGTCAGATCATCATGATCATAGATGCACAAGAACTTAATCATGTAAATGCAACAACGTAATTATCAATTGAAAGAAGGGAGGAATGAAAAAATATATTAGTATTTTATTGTCCAAATGAACTTGCTTTGTCCACTCATTTAAATCGCTCCATCCAATAAAGATGTACGGAGAAAGATTTTTGAAGAACAGATTGCAAAAATGTTTTGTCTAAGAATTGTTTGAATATTCTAGTGGATGAAATAATTTATTTACTTGACTCTTATATAGTGGACTGAATAATTGTTCATAGCAAGCTGAAACAAGAAAACTAAAACTTAACAGGAAAAGTGTTTATTTTATAAATTTGCAAATATAAATGTAATATTATGAACACCACAAAGGTATAAGATTCAAATCGTTTGCATATTCATGTATTGCAATGGAACTATAACAAAGAAAACTTTACCTCATTAAACTATTAACTGTGCTTTGTCAATTTATTCAGTCAGAATATGAAATATTTTTTTCAGTTCTATTTTCATAATAAAACAAACAAGACAAGATTTCAAATCAATATTTTTTTCTTTTATAAAGACATGTCATCATTTTATTTCAGTTAAAGGATTTTATTTTTTGACTTTAAATATTATTATACTTTCCAAAATAATAATAATCTTTATTGTCATATAAACAAATTAAAAACATGTTTGTGACAAAATGAAAAAAACCAAGATACACTCATATATATATTATAAACTTTTTACTACCAAACAGAATTCATTGTAACATACACATTACTGTATATTTATAATTTGAATTCCATAGGATTTTATTTTATCCCATGGGATATTAAAAATCCCATGGGATAGTTATAGTCCCATGGGATTTTTTTTGTCCCATGGGACAACAAATATCCCATGGGACTACAATTATCCCATGGGACCCAAAAAAATCCTATGGGATTTAACCAAAATCCCATGGGATAATGGTCAATCCCATGGGATTTGCCGTATCCCATGGGATATTGAAAATCCCATGTTTTTCTAAATCAAATTACAAAATATATATAATAATAACAGCAGAAAAGCAATGAAATTATTGAATCCCATGTAATGCCGCACATTTTGGTTATATACACGACACTGTAGGTCTAAGGAGAGGCGGCGGCGGATTTGCAAATGAGTGTTTTGCAAATTAAAAGTGTCCAGTGTTACTACTCCTTACCCCAATGATTGATGTTTCCTGACGAGCGTTAGCTTGATTTCATCGTCGTAACAATCAAATACAACATTAACGAACAACAACGAACAACTGCTATATATATTTATATTGCTTTTTCGCATATAATGTTATTTGTTTTGTCTCATGCAAATTTACTTCATAATTATCCTGTCTTTGGCCGCCTTTACACGGAGTAAAATTTCAGAGTTAATTAAATATTTATGTGTCTTTTCTTATTTTATTTTTGTTGTGTTGTTGAATCATTTATATATACTACACTAGATGATTATCCACTCATTCCCTATCATAATAATGTACATTTTTATTGTTATAATTTTCGTATTAGAATAACTACACCAAACCTAAATTACGTCATGTAGACCTATTCATAACCATAACTTGTATCACAATGAAAATCTCCAAATAGATTTAAATCTATCAAAAACGTACATTTTGAGTCTGTTAGAATAGAACAAAGATTTGCATTATAATACCAGAAAGTTAGCAGTCAACATCAACATTTTCTGTATACCATTGTATTCACAAAGGTTATCAGAATTGAAAAATGTTATTAGAACAAACCTCCTCCTTCTGTACTACTACCGCTGCTACTACCGTTAGCTTTGCGTTTAATTCCTTTCGGAACACTTTGTTTTCTATTCTCAGCATGATGTAAAGCAAGGGCAACTGTATGGAGAAATTTGAAAAAAAAACAACAAATTATTATGTACTATGAAATAGTTTTATTATTTTTATTTTAGACTATATTAATATATAGTCAATCAAAAAGATATTGCATTACTTCAGAAACGCACCTTACATATAGTCACATAATCACACAAGCATTATAAGTATATTTGACAACTATAACGGCATAAAGTTGATTTAGTAGTTTTTTTCAGTTTTCAAATCCTTTATTATCTTTGGGCTATGAGTTCTTTGCAAACACAAGCAAAATACTGAATCAATAAAAAAAAATAGAAACAAAATTGTGACGGCTTAGATATAAATCAAAATAGAATAAATGTAAACTTTAAGGCTCGATCTGTTTTCAATGATTTCAAGCGGTGATCATAGCCCTAATATCAGTAATAATAAATCAGAAAATAATAAAATATAGAAATATTTGTATCCTAATGAAATAGGTTTTAACATACGTAAAGCATCTTCATTTTCTTCGAATGTGCCGTGATGCCGTTTATCTGGTAACGTAACAACCACAGTCGTCAATGGTGTCACAAACTTGTACTGAAAAAAAACGTAAATAAAATAGTATATCAAATACGAAATATAAAAATCAATACATTTATATCACACATACTATTTTAAACATATATCTGACGTATTGGAAGAACTATTTCAGAGATTGAGATGTTACTTTTACGAACATAGACCTCAATACATATGTCCACTGTTTCGATTCGAGCACCATTTAGATTAATCGTAATGTGTAGATGGCTAATTAAATTATACATGTAAATTTGAGACACGCCAATTCGATACCTCATTCGTCGGATTACGCACGGTGTTGCGCCCTATTCCTATTTACTAACTGTTGTAACATGTTGACAAAGGTGGGTTGTTATTGTGTTATCATAAGTATCTACACGTCTTAGAAGTATGTGAACGTAATAAAGTACAGTCATAAATGAATAAAGGGAGATGTGGGGGTATACGTACATATGTCAACTAACTAACGCCAAATTATTAAGGAGACATTATTCAAGGTATGACTAATTAAAGGTCTTAAGTATTTTCTACAATTAAGATAAAAGTACATTCGTCTAGAAATAGATTACCTTCAAAGACAACTGTCTGGCCCTATGATTTAAACTCATCTTTTCTGTTGTATTATATTCACCAATGGCTTTTTCTAAAAGTTGCTTGATTGTAAGATACGCCCATACTCTCTCGGTTATTCCGTCGTAGTCAGATGTTTTGGCCGTAGAATGAATCTGATTTTGAATGTCAATCTCTAAAGCCAATTCTATAGGTCCATCTACTCCAATACCAGAACTTAAAACATCGATTACATCTCCATCGATACTAAATAACTTTCCAGCAGCAACAATTTCCTTCCCGTTAAAAAACGTGTCAAAGTTCAATGTGGTTGCTTTTTCTATTATATCTGTGTTCTTATTCAGGTATTTCAAGGTGACATTTCTCAGCGAAGGGGACGAAATTTCATTGAAGAATTGTTTGATTTGCAAAGAAGCATCGCTGCCTTTGAAAAGCTTTCTAGCTATCCCATTATTTTTAACAGCAACTGTTTTAATAAATTCGTAATCAGCTTCGTTTCCATATGCAAGACTGAAAATAGGTATACATTCAATGTTTTTCTCGTCGATATTACTGAGAATTTTACTTCGATTTTGTTCTCCTTTAGATGCTTGGCCATCAGTGAGAAACACCATCATCTTCATACGGTTACCATCTTTTGAAATATTGTTGAGAAACTCTAATCCTTTCAGCATTGCATTATTTATATCAGTATCTGTCAAAAAAATCACCAGTTTCTGGTTAAATGTTAGATGTCAATATGATACCTGCTTTGTGTGGTATGCGTCAATGGGACAGCAACCCAATGAGAAGACAACCAAATGATATCTAGGGGTAAAAAAAAAACCCACAAAATGCATGTAACTCGTGTGTATTTTCTATTTTCTAAATGCGCATAAAAACAAAGTCGTTTAATTGATTCTCGTTTTATCTTTTAGCTAGGTGTTGTCTGTGTAGGGAAAACGGTACTATTTATTCTGCCATAGGCGACAATACTAACATTTTCTAAATTTACCACTTTTTATAATAAAAACCCCGATAAAACAGTTATGTGTGGTGTTAGTACTTTATTATTCTGTTTTGAAAATTGAAGCCAAATAGTATCATGACCAACTTCCAATGGAGCTTGTTAATGTTATCCATGCCCACCGTCATTTTACACCAAATTTATGAAATTTTTGAAGTCTTTTCGAATAATTCTCTAAAAAATATTTCAATAGGTTTCAAAATTTATATTGTAAATATACACACTGCAGTTATTCATAGATAAATAAAAAAATATATTGTACCCTAACATCCAATCACAGCGCTCCTAAGTTGACTTCCTTCACCTGCCTTGGGTACACAAAAGACCAACCTAATGCTGGGAAAATGTAATAGTACCGTTTTCCCTATACTGTGACATAAAGATATAAAGAATTCTTTTGACACCATTAATGCAATACTGGGTTATTGTGAAAACCTTGGCTATAATAAATACTTGTATGTTCCCATTACTTAAAGAAACATGGATCATTTAATGTCCCCACCCCTACATGCTGGTTTACCTCTTTCTCTACTTCTTTCAGATAAGGCTTAATAAACAACCTGTATCCAATCATATCTTATCTTATTTAAAAAGAATAATAAACAGTTCCATTTAAACAGATAAAAATAACAGTTCCATTCAATTTGTATTCATTTCATCTAAAATTTACAACATAAGCACAAACTCAAGATTTTTCATACTAATCTCCATTCCATGCTTTAGTATATGCCATACTGTGGTTCAAAATTTCAGAGCTTGTTATAAAATCCATTATTCTGTCTTGAGATGATGAGAACAAAGATATTAGACACTTTCAACATTAAATATGCAAAATACTCAGCTGTAAAGTTGCCTTTGTTGCCTGTATTAATCTATGAAAAAGCTGAATTATGTCCCTTTGGAGTATTAATTTCCAACAAAAGTCCTTTCAAACAGTAGAAAATGAAAAATTATATATGCCTGATATAATAAAAGATAGAAACTACAAAATGAAGTACTATTGAAATATTTGCTGCATGAATTGCCAAGAATATGACCAATTCTTTACACAGGAGAGTATAAATTCTATCTAAATTTAGCCTCAAGTGGGCCTCTTTTTTCCTTAAATGGACAATTTTAACACTGAAAATGCTTCTAGTATGACCAAATGTTGCCTTACTCCATAAACAGTACAAACTTAACCAGACAATTTCCCATTTGAATAGATTATGTCTACAGAAATACCCAAGTGATACATTTAGGGAATTACACAGCAAAAAAGGCAAATATTTCAGTTAAAAATATTTGTCGCGACTTGAATTCTGGTGTTTCCAATTGAATTAATCATTGCGAAAGGTGAAAACAAATACAAAAGAACTATAGTTTGGTGCATTTTATACAATATAGTTAATATTGAAATCCTAGAATAAAGTTTTATATCAGTACCCATCAATTTGACTTATTATGATGACTCAGCACTTCTCTCAACACAGTATTGTTCTCAGTGAAAAAATTCTATTCTTTGTGATAAAAATCAAATGTACTAACCAAAAGCTTCAAAATAGTTTACTTTAACTGAAGTCTGATTGATTTTGATTTCCCTTGCTATCTTCAGTATAGGGAAAACGGTACTATTTATTCTGCCATAGGCGACAATACTAACATTTTCTAAATTTACCACTTTTTATAATAAAAACCCCGATAAAACAGTTATGTGTGGTGTTAGTACTTTATTATTCTGTTTTGAAAATTGAAGCCAAATAGTATCATGACCAACTTCCAATGGAGCTTGTTAATGTTATCCATGCCCACCGTCATTTTACACCAAATTTATGAAATTTTTGAAGTCTTTTCGAATAATTCTCTAAAAAATATTTCAATAGGTTTCAAAATTTATATTGTAAATATACACACTGCAGTTATTCATAGATAAATAAAAAAATATATTGTACCCTAACATCCAATCACAGCGCTCCTAAGTTGACTTCCTTCACCTGCCTTGGGTACACAAAAGACCAACCTAATGCTGGGAAAATGTAATAGTACCGTTTTCCCTGTACTGTACATGTGTATGGTTTGTTTCGAATTATGATTTTTAATTGCTAGTTTGGTATATTCTCAGTTTTATTTACTTGCATACAAATTAATATATATGAATATATGACAATATGAAATGATTTAGTTTTAAACAATCCATTTTGCAAAATTAATAATGTTTCTGCTGTTAAAATCTTTACACAAATTGCAAGAAATATTTATGTGTGGCATTTTCAAGTGTTTACAATCAAGAATGACGTATAAATGTAAAATGAAATTATAGAAAAATCACCAATTAATTCTGATTTCAATGGTAAACAATCATAGAAACACAATTATACAGTCGCTGGCGAGTGAAAAAGAAAAAAACACGTTTACACGGATAGAGATATCACTAAAACGTCATACTGAACTTTTTTTCTAATGACAACATAGTTGTTCAACGTGTTAGTTTTACATTCATACAAATAGTCGATATGGAAATGGGTTTAATGTTGCCCCTATACTTATATGAAAAAAAAAATGTTTTGTGTAATTTAACTTACATCCATTCGCTTGCATCTCTTTGAGATACTGACGTGCTTTTTGTTTATTTTCATTGCTTGCATTCAAAATTTCAGGCTGCCATAATTTTGCATTAGTGCTGAATTCCATTATATTGAATCTGTCAAAATTGTGAAAGTCTTGTATAACTGTATCAATGGCGTTATTTTGTTGTTGTATTTCAGTACCAAACATAGATGAACTCACATCTAGGATGAACAGAACATCTTTTGGTATTGGTATAAGGCTTTCAGGGGCAAACAGATGCGTGAAATATCCATCAGAAATCTACAAAAATAAAACAACAAAATAAAACACATTGTTTCACATAACGGGCGTTTAAAATAAGCGTCTGAACCCTATGAAAATAAAGGGGAAAATGCGTGAATATACCCGACGATTATGTAAACCTTGGATTCTTTTGTTTCTTAATTTTTATTTTATCATTTTTATTTAACATACAATAAAACCATATAAGAAAAATAACACATTCACTTAACAAATATAAAAGAACAAAATACGGGATTTTTTTTTCAAATGTTTTTCTTTCAAACATTTTGATACTGCACTTTAAGTTTGTCTTAACGATTTTATGTAATTAAAAGACTTATATATAACAGTGTTTTAACTTCAATGCAAGTTCGTTTATATCACTGTTTGACATTTGCAGAGATATAAAATGTAACAAGATCACACAACAAGTTAATTATAGTTTACTGTAACAATGTAGGTTCTGGTGTAACCTTTCGCTGTGGTCGGTCATGTTTTTCACGCACAAAGAAAAGATATTAAAATATATATCAACACAAAAATATCTTCTTTTCTCAAACAACTATTTGAACATTTTAAGCTATGTTGAGTCTATTGAATTTTTTATCATTAAAAATTATTTTGCAAACAAAAAGACAGTTCAACCAAGTTGCAGTATATTTGCTATTACCATGAATTCACCAGCGTCAAATTTTCTCTGGACATCATAATCGACAACAAACAACCCTGATATTCCCTGGTCTGAAACCTGCTTCTGATCATTGGCTGTCGGGGCATATTGAATAGTGGCCGACTTTGGTGTTGGTCGGTCAATCACAGCCAAGGCGTTTTCTTCTTCTGCATAAATAAATGAACTATTAATACTATAAGTTCTAATTGTGTAATCTTTATTATCAACACTCGACAGAAGACTAATTTATTACAAAGGAAAACTTTGCTTTTTTTTTTTTTTTTTTTCTTTACATTTGTCTTTTTTGATAGAGTTCATATCACCATTAGAAAAACAAAGAGCGATGGAATTTGTTTCCGATTTAAATTATCTCTCTTTTATCAGATAAAAAAACAATATCATTGCAAAATTAAAACATGTTCCACTGTCCAAAATGCAAACTTATACTTAAGTGTAAAATTCTCCGGGCATCTGAGACTGGGTCCTCTATAAGGTAGTAAATAGAAACAAATAGTGATAATACAAGGCCATAAATTATGTTGAAAAAGAGAAGTCGTTTGTATTTGTTTGAATTTACATTGATGTTCATGCTATTCATACTTGTACACAAGGCAGTGTTGTTCAACTGTTTATGTTCATTGTAATGTGCTGTTGACAATATAAATAAGAAGATGTGGTATGAGTGCCAATGAGACAACTCTCCATCCAAGTCACATTGTGTAAAAAGTAAACAATTATAGGATAAGGAAGCTACCATTTGATTTGTATGGGGGGATAACAATTTATGTAAAAAAAGTCAGGATAAACTAATCGAGGCAGGACCGAATAGAGTGAAAAATAAAAAGGCAGGACAGAGATTACAACTAAAAAAAAATGCAGGACAAAATTTTTCATCCTGCCGGCCCCCCTCCTAGAAATCAAATGGTAGCTCCCTAAAGTACTTGGCTCAGACCGAATAGCTAGCTATATAGAAAAACACATATTTCGTTAAAACGTCAATGTGACAGTTACTCAACAATACAAAATTAAAACAAAGATTGACATACAACAAAGAGGTCACCATACCGACCTCAATTGTAGGAATTGCATCCAACCATAAACTCTTGGAATATCTATGTATCAGTTTAATTAGGGGTAACTGACCGGTACTAATATTACGTGTAGCATAAAAATAGCCAAACGCTTCCTGTCGGGAATGGTTTAATACAAAACACCCTATACTTCCTCATGATCTTAGATTAATGTTATAGTAGTATAAGACTTGTTCGACTATGGCAATCGTACCACATCTCCTTATTTTACATTTAAAACAAAGAAGGCTTTGGCGATATTGGTGTGTGTTCACGTTTAATTCAGATTATATTTTTAATGCCCTTGTTCCTGTAATATTATTTACTGGCCATTTTGATTGTTTAAGGTTCATTGTATATTGTTTTGTTTCTTTTGATCTTTTTAATTTCCAAGTTTTTGAAATTACTTGAAGCAAAATTGTTCTGTACGTGTACAAACCATTTTTATTAGATATTGTGTTATTTCGTAGTTGCGGCACTAAAATTCTAGTTATATTTCTTGCTTCCGAAATGGCCACATCAACCTTTAAATCTTCCACAATCTGTCCTGGATCGACATATATTTTGTGTTGATATCTGCCATTGACTCGTTCTAGAAGTTCTTGATAAGTCAGATTAAAAGTCGCTGTACTCTCAGCTGGTACGTTTATATCAAAACTAAATCTGTTAGTATATCTGAATCTGTGAATGATAACATCATAAATAACTATCAATTAAATGTCTGCCGAAAATTATAAAAAGACCAATTATAAATTGGACAGAAGTACGGTTTAAACAGTCCCTTATATCTAGGAACAAGGTCAATTTTCCATGATTATTTTATATCAGGGGCGTTTTCAAAAGGTTTTTCAAACTTGAAACGAAACAGAGCTCCAAGTTTTAAACTTAAAAAATTATCAAATTTTGATACATTGTAGTTGTCCACTATATACAGGTTTTGGATGATTCTGACAATGATCGGAACTACTATGTTGCCATGAAAACTTCAGCAAAAATATCAAAAATTTCAAAATGCTTTAAACTTAATGAAACTTCACAGTAATGATGCAACATTTGTAGATGTGGTATTTGGAGTTGGAATTTCAAAAATGGCTGCCGTTACCATGGAAACAATGCAAAAAAGGTCAAAATGCTCTAAAAACCCTTCTAAAAACCTTTAAGTAGCATTTCCTCTCTTAATATGGTAGGTCAAACCAAGTGAAACTTTAATGGTATGTCCCCTCTCATGTACCAATGGGGTACCTGTCATTTAAATTTTGGAATTGGTCATCGTTACCATGGAAACAGCAAAAGTATCCAAAATTTCAAAATGCTCCAACGTTACTGAAACTTATTATGTATGTTAACTGGCAAGTGTAGATGAGACTTTTGACTTTGGAATTTCCAAAATTGCCGCCGTTGCCATGGAAACTGCAAATATGTGTAAAATTTCAAAGTGCTCCAAATGTTCTGAAAATTTACAGAAAGATGTATAGCCAAGCATATAATTATGTGCATTCACTGTTTGAAATTTGTGAAATGGCTACCGCTTAGTGGCAATGGGGGAAGGGTAACATCCGCTATTGCTTGCAATAGCAATTCTAGTTATTTATAACTTTGAATATGTAACAAAAGCATTGTGTCCTTGAAGATGGTTCTAAAGTTAGATTAAAAAGACGATCGGAAATGTGAAAATATCATTTCAAAATATTAAAAGCACATTCCCGGACAAAACAAAAACACAATTTAAATCGGAGGTAAACCTAGGTTTTGTCTTTTAAGTGCATATACACTCATTCTATTTATTAATATCCTGCGATATGAAATTTTACAAAAGTGTCATTTGATATACAAATTATATTCATCAGATATGCATATCAATCATTGTGAATAATCACATAGTGTGAATAGCTTTTGATAATATTAAAGAAGAACTGACTGCCATTTAGCACAATATAACGGTTTATCTTATAAACTTATACGTCAAGATTTGTGTGTCAGACTCATTATATAAGTATCAAAACTATATTTTATACACAAATGCGTGAATGTACTTACTTTTCTTTCACATGTCTTGCATTTTGCCAACTATTTTTCCCCCTATCATATTTTTCTTTCACTCTCGCGTTTTTCTTGATTTCTCCGTGATACACCTGGCCATTTATTTCCCTGAAAGACAAAAAAGAGTAAAACAAACTATTTATTATAAGTATAATGCACAATTTCTTCGAGGAATCCGTAGGTGGCTTGTGTTGCAAGGCAAAATATCTGTCCCTATCCAATATACCCTCATTGTACAGTGGCAGTACTAATTTTGTCAATATAACGCAACAACTGTAATACAATTTGGAAATTTAACTAGCTATAAAACTAGGTTTAATCCCCTATTTTCTTCGGGAAATGCCTGTACCTATTCAGGAATATGACGGTTGTTTTTCACTCGTTCCGCTCGTTGATGCCGTTTGACTTTGTCAGTTTTTATGGACTTCCACTCTTTGAATTTACCATGGATTTTGTTTTCTGTTATACATTTTACATTAAATGATTGTAATCTTCTCAAAGGATCAGGTTCATGAAATATTGATGACCTTATTAAAACAGAAATATAATTTGAATTATCAACTAACAGTATATATTGAATTTTGTCTTTTGCAAAGAAAGATATAGTCAGATCTGTATGCACTAGGGCTGGACATATATTACTGGAAATAGCTTTTATGCTTACAATAGTTATTAATTAATGCTCATATTTACCTAAGAATTGTGCATAAGTGAGGCCATATCTATAAATATATGTGCAAATGAAAGTAAGGAGCAACCCTAACTTAACACTTAATAGAACAGAAAGGGTATAGAGTTTCAATTCATGACACAAAAACTCTACATATAAATGAAAGCACCAAAAGCAAACGAACAGTGTCTCTATTGTTGTTCTTCATCTCAATGACACAATGGGCAAACACTCTCACCTTTAAATGGTTCTTTTAAAGGGTTTTGGTCCTAGTATTGTCATTAAATATTACACATGTACAAGAAATAAATATATCTTCATAATATACAAAGTAAGATCAAATAAATATAGGACAAGATATATCTATGTTACAGAAAGTAAAGATATATGGATGTAGAATATTACTTTAAATAAGTATGACGTCATATTGGACGATATTTACTCTACTGACCTATTTTTTTTTAAGAAACTGATACAGCTCTTATTCAAGCATCTGAGATTTATCGCAGTTCTTTTTAAAGTGCAAACTAGGTAACTGTCCAACTAACTGCCCTATTAACCTTTCAACAAAAAACTGATATTCTTGTTTGGAACGTATTACTTATTCAGATTTTTTGTAAATTTGGAAGTACATTATATAATCTAGTGAAAATTTGTAGGCAGACTTTTAAAAGTCATTTGCTCTAGATTTATCTTATAATGTGCATAATTTCCTTACTACATGTACATGTACCAACAATTACAAAACAATTTTTGTTTTATTGTTTACATTCTTAATAATGTTATTCTTTAAGAAAACAAACCCAGATAGAATGGTCTACATTTTGTGGGATATACGTGTACCAGACACAAATAAATTAAGATACAAATAAAATTGAGAATGGAAATGTGGAATATGTCAAAGAGACAACAACCCGACCAAAGAGCAGATAACAGCCGAAGGCAACCAATGGGTCTTCAACGCAGCAAGAAAATCCCGCACCCGGAGGTGGTTCTCAGCTGGCCCCTAAATAAAATTGTGTACTGGTTCAGTGTAAATGGACGTCACACTAAACTCCAAAACATACAAAGGAACTAAAATTAAAAAAACATACAAGAGTACATTTATGTGCTGGTGGTCCAAACTTGTCAAACAAACAAAATACGAAAAAACTAGAGGCCCATCAAGTCTAAAAAAAAAAAAAAAAGAGAAGAAAAAATAAAACCAAATGAATAGTCTAGTAATTCCAACTGAATCTCTTTTTATTTGTATAATCAGTCTTACCAATTTGATGAACAAATATTAAGTATCCAAATAAGGATCATATTGTCACTTTCTAGCAATATTCAAATTAATGTGCGTCTAAGAGCATATACAATGAATAATGTACAATGAAATTAAATACACATAGGACAATATCATAGTTAAAAATATTATTCTCTTTAAAACAAGTCAACTTTCATGTAAAACATAACAGCATTATATATTAAGATAACATCTCAACATTTAGAGATCACATCAATTAAATTGCACACGCAAATCACAGTTAGCTTAATTTTCTAAAATCGAAGACCTGTAAGTGTACATTTCACTCAACATATTTTTACTAAAAGTGTCAACATGTTTACAAACATTTGGATCAACCTTATAAAAATATTCACCTAGCAGTATGTTTATTTTTTCGTAGGACGGTAACTCTGAGAAGCAAAAGTCGGTGACGTTAGGACTTAGGTACTCATTTATATCGGCAAAATAATTAATTCGTATAGGGGAATATTCAGAACATTCGAGAACGAAGTGTTCCACGGACTCCTCAGATTTGCATGAACACATTTGACAAATGGGAGTCTCGCACATATTCATTCTATACAAACTTGATTCATGGGTAAACAATTTGTTCGTGCTAACAATTAAACTCTTAAAATATATGAAAGTATTGATTCTGTTACAGAACAGAGATTAATACATCAAAAACGAAGACAGGAGAAAAATGGGCGAGAAAATAAAGAACAGAGAATAGAGTGCTGAAAAAAAGAATAGATAATAATTGAGACAAACTAAAGAATAGAAACTAGGGGTTCTAAAGAGCCTGTGTCGCTCACCTTGGTCTATGTGCATATTCAACAAAAGACACTCTCCAACATTGTAGACGAGAATGTTTTGTTGGTCTTGTATTGATGATCATTTAGTCTGTTTAGTTTCTCTCTATCTTCTTCAGTTTTTGCTCAAACACAATAGAGGGTAAAACAAATCCTCATTTAAGGGCAATCACTCCTATAAAGAGTGATAGTCTACTAACTTAATCGGCAAAATTTGACTTGTTAGTAGATCTTGACTTGCTGATCATTTTTGTGATTTTTAACAAGTGTCTATCATCTATTATAATTTTTATCATATAAGGCAACAGGCAAAAAAAAATGGTTATTAAAGGGCAATAACTCCAATAAGGAGTCGTCGGACGATTTCCTCCATAGTGTCGTAATTGTATATCTTGTCTTGTTGATCATTTTTGCTTATTGAAGTTTCTATCTATTATAATTTTTAAGATACAATGTATAAGACAAAAACGCCAAAAGTTGTTAAAAATCGTCATCAAAGGACAATAACTATAACAAGTAGTCGACTGTCGATTTCGACATGTCTTGCTGATCATTTTTGCAATTTAAAGTATCTCTCTAACTATTATAAACTTCAAGTTAATAGGCCAAAATGAAAAAAAAGGTAAAATTTGTCATTTAAGGGCTATAACTCCTATAAGAAGTCGTCTGACAGTTTTAACGTATTTAAACAATTGGAAGAGCTCAACATTCTGAACATTTTTGCTACCTTCAGATTTTCTCTATTCATAACAGTTTCAAAATAATAGACAAAAGTTGTATTTTACCCATATGTTCTATTTTTTGCCATGTCAGCCATGTTGGTTGGCAGGCAGGGTCAATGGAAACATTTTTTAAACTAGATACCCCAATGATAATTGTGGTTAAGTTTGGTTAAATTTGGCCCAGTAGTTTCAGGCAGGAAGATTTTTGTAAAAGTTAACAGACAACGACGGACGCTGACGGACGACGACGGACGCCAACGGACGACGACGGACGCTAAGTGATGAGAAAAGCTCACTTGGCCCTTTGGGCCAGGTGAGCTAAAAAAATGGCATCAAATTGAACGAATTCAGAAATGATGACCCCCAATTAATACCATATACATAATTATGTCTATGACAGAACGTACATTAGGAAATCTATGATGAAAGCAGAATCTGGTATCACCGCTTGGAAACTTGCCTCTACTGGTGTCCCAACACTGTTAACAACTTTGCTGGAAACTAACGTCGTAGCAAATCGATGTGTTATGTCTGATTTAATATGCATAGAATGTATTGAAGGATTCTGAAACAAAAACGATTGAAATAAATGAACCAATAATTAAAATTAAAAGTTTGATAAATAGTTGATAGAGACTCAGTAAACAGTCCAATATTTGCATATGATGTTCATTTTAAAGGCTCGCACCTGTTGCATGCATAGGTGAAACAGCTGAATTATCAAACTTGTTGAGCTCCCCTTGTACAGAAAAGTTTCAACATTTAAAAAGGTGTTGATAAGATTTTTAGGTTTCTTCTCGTAACGTCCCATTTCCATGCTTATGTATTGTAGATATTATAGAATCATTATATCATATTGTATGATGGATACAGTAATATTAATGTTGACAATAAATTTTATTTGATTTTGCTTTATCGAAGGGCGGTGTTGTAAATTATTATTTCCTTGAATGAAAAAAATAAAGAGAAATATGTCTGTTTTTTTATGTCTTTTGCGTCAACTTAAACTAAAAACTGTCTGCAGGCCAAAACATATCAAAGCCCTTCAAACACTGCCATCATTTGTGTTCAACATTTCTGTTTAACAAACTAAATGAATGGTAGTTTTTAAACAAATTAATGATACAAGACAAATTAAGTTAAAAAGGTCACCTTAAACATTATTATTTCTTCGGCGGTTTTTGTTTTCAATGTGAGACTATTGAATCCTACCAACAAGCAGATACAGTACAAAGAAAAAGAATACTTATACCTAAATTGGATTTCCTAGCCCAAGATGACCTAAATGACAGATAATACTTAGTATTGAATATCATGATACATTTGACTACGGGAAATATATCTTTTTGGAAGTAGTATCTATTTACGTTTATAAAGAAATCAATACATCATTTAGTGTAGTCTTTTTTTTCCTTATTGTTACAAATCTGTGTACATTAATTATAAAGTTCATCGAAACTGTTACAATTTGAGATTGATGAATACATGGAAGTCAGGATTCTACTTCGTCAAAATTATCTCCCCATTACGCCACCTATTTTTTACAATCGTAAAAATGGAAGCCATTGTAGGGATGACGTGCTGTCAATTTAGCTCCTGAAAACCGATAAATTTATCGACAAACTGTAGCATCATTACGATCCTTCTAAGCCAGTTGTATTTTAAAAGGCAAATAAATCTACTACATGTAGCTATTGAACATCAATTGATGTACTTTTATGCATTCAATCAACCTGAAATTATTGTCTGATCGGTTGTCATGGGAAATTTTCGAAAGTTCAAAAACACAAAAAAAATCTAAATAGATAGTTCATGGAAGGGCAGAATTAAGATTTTCAGAGGTTGACGACTAAAAACCCTAGATAGCACACACAAAAAATGAAGTTTTTTGAAGTAATGTATTTTAAAGATCCACTTGTAAACTCTGTCGTCAAGTACTTTTAGTAAAAATTTGTTATTCGAACAATTTTTGGGGCCTTTAATAGCTTACTGTGCGGTGTGAGCCAAAGCTCCGTGTTGAGACCGTACTATGACCTATAATGGTTTACTTTTATAAATTGTGATTTGGATGGAGAGTTGTCTCATTGGCACTCATACAACATCTTCTTATATCTATACACCTACTCTGTTGTTATGACCCATTAGAAAGGTATTTCACTTGACCCATATATTTCATTTTTTAGTACTGTGAATTTGTAATGTTAGCGTAAATATATAGAAATAACAGAATCTGAAGCGAGATGATGTATCAAATATGTATGCTTTATAAAAATAAGGAGATGTGGTATTTGTGCCAATGAGACAACTATCCACCAAAGTTCAAATGAAGTGGACGTAAGCAGTTACAAAATATGTATAGGCAACCGTGCGGCCTTTCATACATGAGAAAAACCCATACCTTATATTCGGCAATAAAAGACCTTGCTATGAAAAATATGAAACTATTCAATTGAGAAAACTAACGGCCTAATTTATATCAAAACAATTTACGAAAAACAAATATGACAGACATGAACCAACAACAACCACTGAACTACAGGCTCTTAACTTGGGACAGGCACACGAAGAATGTGGCGGGGTTAAACATGTTTATGAGCGCTCAACCCTTTATATGTTTTCAAGACAGAATAGTCAACTCAAACACTCCTAAACATAAACAGAAGTACTCGACTTTATCTCTTCGATGAAATTATTGCCCAGTTTTAGGATTTTTTCCAAAAAAATGTCGCCGGGGGCAGAGATGCAACTTAATGCTTTCAAAAGATCAATCTATTAGTTTTCTGTGGATTTTTTTTTTCGGCGAAATGTAACTGTTTATGCACAAGAAAGATCCACATGTATTTGTACATACCACAATCGACTGTTTTGTGAAAAATCGCCTATAATGTATAAGTTTACAAATATATTGTAGCTCATAGAAACAGATGTAAACAATTCAAATATACAAACTTGTCTTTTTTACCTTCTCTGATAAAGAGTTCCATTTCTTTTGTTTAATTTTAACTGGGTATCTGCCTGGTGTAAAGTCTATAATTCTCACGACAGAGCTGTAATAGTATACCGCTATTATCTAGCAAAAACCCTTGAAAGGCATTCGAAAGCCGCAGCTAAAGACGACAGCAGCAACAGAGACCCAAAGCAAATAATTTTAACCACTTCAAAAAATCTATCTTGGTTCAAAATGACCAGGTATATACAACGTCGTGAAATGAAAATCGGTGTGACACATCAAAGTTTAAGGTTTGTATAAAAGTGCGAATGTCCTGCAAATACGAACAAAAGATATTGACAACCAAACTTTCAAGTCATCTAAAGAGTACTCAGGCCCTACCTAATTATTTCAACAGTAAGCTACTAGGTATTATTGTAATCACGATGTTAGTGTGTCATTTAATTGTTTAGCTTACTTTCTTTTGTATCCAACCTTTGTACTGGGAATCCGAGACATTAAATACATGTAACATTAGTAAGTGTAATGCTTTGATTTTTTAATCCTAAATTCACTTATATAATTACGAACTAAACTAAGACAAACTGCATTTTAGTGTCATGTCTTAATTTTGCGCTTTATATAAAAGTGCCTTTAAGATTCAAAAATATCAAAATAGCTATATATAGGGTGAAATTTGAAATTTTTATAACAGTTTTTTCTTTAAGAATACACGCAAGTCTAAAAGATAGTCGGAGATTACAAGTTTTAGATTAATCATTTCTCGTTCTGGAGTAGCAACCTCTTTTAAATTCCATTATATTTTTAGAAACAAAATACTGATAACCGGTTATTTTTGTACCGGGTTAATGATATTATCAACAACAACTCTTTATATGATTGATAAGAAAATTGAGAATGGAATGGGGAATGTGTCAAAGAGACAACAACCCGGCCAAAGAGCAGATAACATCTGAAAGCCACCAATGGGTCTTTAACGCAGTGATAAAAATCCCGCACCCGGAGGTGGTCCTCAGCTAGCCCCTATATAAAAATGTGTACTAGTTCAGTGAAAATGGACGTCATACTAAACTCCAAAACATATAAATGAACTAAAATTAAAAAACATACAAGACTAACAAAGGCCAGAGGCTCCTGACTTGGGACAGGCGCAAAAATGCGGCGGGGTTAAACATGTTTTGTGAGATCTCAACCCTCCCCCTATACCTCTAGCCAATGTAGAATAAAGAAACGCACAGCGATAAGAATCTTTAAAAATAAAAATTGATAAAACTTTATATCATGTTCAAAGATTTTATTAGAAAAAGTACTTATTATGTACATCTATTTCATAAACGACACTCTGAAAGAAATAATTGACTTTTCTTTTGTTTATCAAATTTGGTTTCAAAAATACAAAAATAGTGAATGGTGTAAATAAAACAAAAAGTCGGATGATACAAAAAAAAAGGGGGGGGTTGAAAATCAATGATATGTCACAACACCATGGACGATAGAAAATAGATTTGAGTTTTCTTATGTCAATTTCCTATTTTTTTTTAAGTATTTTTTTTTTTCTCGCGGTTCCTTTTATTAACTTGAATTGCAAATATTTTTCAGCGATTGTGTTGCAACAATCGGATTTTTTTTTTATCTATAATTGAACTTCCAATTATCTTATTTTCTAGTGGCATTCCAAATAACTCAATTGGTCAACTTTTTGCATTGATTTTTAATTTGTTCTCGTTCTGAATATGGATGCAGAAAACCTGATAATCGGTGCGTATTGGGTTCTTGCTTTGTGTCTGAATAGCATTGACCCTCTATAATTTATCCTTTCATTCATATTGTAAAGATATTACATGTGCATCTCTTCCCTTATTCTCGTTAGATCACGTTTCTTATTGTGTTGTTTATAGGGGCGAGGGAAGGGTATAGTTGTAAATGGTGTTTGGGTCTTTTTCTATCGTTGGTACATGTACATGTATGTGAGGGAAACAATATCATTTTTAATGCAGTGAACAAGTTTCAATGACACTGATGTCGAATCTTTGAATCTAATTGCTAGGATTTCATTAATTTTCAATTTTAAATATCTAAGGGAGCATACCGATCACACTTTTAAAATTAAAGAACCTTTGTGAGCACGCTCACATACCCAGCGCCCCAATATTGTCACTTGGCAAACATAATCTCACCAGATTCCTAAGTTAAAAGACTCATAACTCCTACAAAAAATCAACTGATAAAAATTTCTTGTGGATATGCACATCTACATATAATGTTCTTATTATTTACAAAGTTTCATGAAATTTTGTTGTGTGGTTTCAGAGGAGTTGTGATGACAAACTGTTGCAGTAGTATATTTAGACCAAATTTGAAAGTTCAAAGGGGCATAACTCCTACAAAAAAAATCAATCATAATTTCCTGTATATATGCACATCTACATATGTCAGAACTATATACAACGGTTCATGAAATTCTGTTGTGTGGTTTCAGAGGAGTTGCAATGACAAACTGTTGCAGTAGTATATTCAGGCAAAAATTGAAAGTTCAAAGGGGCATAACTTCTAGAAAAAAAATCGAATCATAATTTCCTGTCGATATGCACATTTACAAACTATGTCCTAGCTATCTATAAAGTTTCGTGAAATTCTGTTGTGTGGTTTCAGAAGAGTTGAGATGACAAACTGTTGCAGTGGTAAAGTAAGGCCAAAATTCTAAGTTCAAAGGGGCATAACTCCTAGAAAAAAATATTTTCCAAGTAAGAGTCATGCAAAAGACAAATATATAAAACTATCCTACATTTTCTCTTTTTCAATATCCCCGAAATAGACCTCTAATCAAACTCAAATTGTATAACAGATTTGTTTTATGGTGAATGCTTTAATTTGTTAAAGCTATTGCATATCATGTTGTAAACGTTAACTTATTTTCACGTCTAATGAGTTAATTGACCATTCTCCTTTGATCTAAATTTTCCGCAGTGTTTTGTAAACATATCTTCAAACCAAAAGTATAGAATGATAAAGAGATCAAGAATTTGATATTTAAAATCATCAATCAGACGCATTGCATTATTAACTGTTCCCCAAGTAAAATAAAATAAAATTTCTCTTCCATGCACAAAAATATGTACAAATATTTATTTTCATGCAGTTAGTCAAATTACTTTATAACGAAATTGTAAAAATCGTTATGGAATTATTACAGATATATTGTGTATAAAATTTCGACAAATTGATTAAACAAACCAAATTTGAGTCATCGTTATCAGCTATGAAAAAGTGTTCATTTTTAATTAATAAAGTCCATTTAATCGTTTAATAATAAGAAAAAATAGTAGTTTTCGTATAATTTGTTAGGATTGCGGGAAATGAACACAACCAGCCTCATATGGTCTTGCATGTTCAAGAGAAATGCCGGATGCCTAACATAGTACGATATTTTGTCCCCACTGCATATGTACATTAATTTGATAATGGATGTCTGACTATAACTGACAACAGAAAGTTTTAAAAAATGAAAATAACACAAACACAACGCATTTGTAATTTGTCAAAGTTTTTGCACAGCTACAATTTTTTTCAAAGTTTTTGCACTTAGTCTATTTCAAATTTAGCACAGTTTCATTTTTTTTTTTTAATTTATTAACCTTCGTATAAATTTTAAAAAAAAATATCCTTTATGAATGTGTTAAGTAAAAAAAAGTATTTACCTGAGTTTGCACATAAACTGTCTGCATAAACAAGAAGACAAGTATTAAAATACTGTAGTGTAGTCTTTGGTACCCCATGTCCGGCCCGCTTAAAGTTCAAATCCAAAATAACTTCTTTATCTGCAATTTAGTTTAAACGCTACAGAGATCAGTTCTATTAAATAAATGAAACTTTTATTAAATGTACGCAGTTTTTAAAGTGTATCAGATCGTTTTATCCCTATTAAATTTAAAAGATAATAGGTTGTACATGTATATCATGTTCGAGTCATACTGGACGATTAATGTCAAATCTAGAAAGATAATACTCGTATCATATGAAACATACATTTTATTCTCTTATTATTACAACAAATCAAGTCCACGTTCATGTGTCAGTTCACCTATTATGTCTGTTTGTTTTGCTCACACATTGTTGTCAATATAATGGAATTCTATGCGACTGTCATACACGTGAGAGGTTTGGCTAGCTATAAAACAAGGTTTAATCCACCATTTTCTACATAAGGAAATGCCTGTACAAGCCAGGAATATTACAGTAGTTTCCCATTCGTTTAATTTGTTTGAGCTTTTGATTTTGCAATTTGATAAGGGACTTTCCGTTTGGAATTTTCCTTGCATTGGAATTCGGTATTTTTGTTACTTTACTTTTTTCTCTGTAAAAATGTTCATAAAATTATTAACACAAACCGTGTAGATGCTTGAATGAAAAATACAATGTTTTCAAAATAAACATTATAAATGTTAGACAGGTTTATATAATATCTAGTGTTCACATTCCTTTTTACCTTAATGTAAAAAAAAAAAAGATGAAAGTAAAACTTTCCTCAAGTTTGTTTAGTTTCGTAATATATAAAAATTGAAAATAGGTTTTCCTGTTAATTTCTTTACATTAAAAACACATTTCATACACAGAAATATATCGCCTGGTTAGTATTTACTATTAATCAATGGAGCAATAAATAACGGTTGATATATTTCCTACATTATTAAAAACGGTGAAACTTTAACTTATACATCCCTCGGATTTCAAATTTTTGGTATTGAGCGTTCCTGATGAAGGTAAATCCAGAAAAGCGCTTCGCTTCGGACGCATGAAATTATTAAACGTGTTGTTTTCAATTTTTTAAGTCTTGTTTAAAGTTTATTTATTACCCGAAGAAAATATTCGTTTTCTAAAGCTGAATTTGATGTTTTTAGATTCACTTAAAGATCTTAAGCCTCTAAGAAAGTAGCTGATTCGCCGCAACGACGATCGGTGACATGGAGTTGATATTCCATAATAATATCTGTTGATTTTGACATATTTTGATTTCATTTTTGTTTTATAAAAGAACGATAAGTAATTAACCAGTTAAATTTGTGAAAATATGCATTGTATATAGTTTCTTTTATAAGTAGTTTTAATTCAGAGTTTACTCAAATATAGAATATTAAAGCCATGTTAGTTATGTTTAACGAACGAAAGGTATTTAAGTTATTAAAAAAAAAAACAATTTAAAAATGTTGAATAAGTTAGTTATTACATTATTTTTATTATCAAAGAAAGCATTTGTTTTATCATATATGAGATTCCAATACAAATACAGTGTTGTATCTATGAATATTCAAGCGACTATTTTGAGTAGTTCAGGGATTTGAGTCTAAAAAAATACTTTAAAATCACTATTTGCTACTTCTCCTCTTTATGCGCGGCATTAAGGAAGTATAAAAACTCATCGACACGGAGTCAGAATAATGAATAAGAATGGGATTATATACCATACTTCGGATTGTTATATACATTGGACATTTGTATGTAATATGTCGAACTGAACGTATCGGTCTGGTACGAAATAAAGTTCATATCATATTAACATGAGTTTGTGGTGAAAATAATGAAATATTTGCCACGGGACGTTAGAATCTACTCATCCAGAAACTTGTAGATGTATAAATGAGCCCATGTAGATGTAGTTGCAAGCGTGACACGTACATAAAAATTTCACGTTTATGAATGACAATATGAAAATCTAAATGTTGAATATTAAAAACCAAACTGAATACCAGATGAATTTCAATTATATATTTCAAAGGTTTTGGGCAAAAGTTGAAAATTGAATGAAAAGTTGAATATCGGCATGGCTTTGAAAATACAGATATTTAATTGTTGAATATCGAAAATCAAAATAACCAAATGTCGTTTACCCCTCCACCACTCCCTCCCCACCAAATATGATTTTAATTCATTTAACATGACATTGTAAATTATTTTTGTTTCTTTCGATAAAAATTAATGCAAGTTGTTAAAAAGGACCAGTATTTTAATTAAAAACGAAGATGTCGCTGTCTTTGTTATGACACCATTCAGTAATTATAAAACGTTAGATGTGTGGAGTTATGCGATCATATATAATTAGGAGTCCAAATACCTAAAATATCCATGTATAAGTATCCAATCTGAACAGAAACAATACAAGACATTATCCTCTAAGTTTGAAAAAAATTAAAATGTATTTTACTTCATTCATTTGGTTAAAGGCCGATGAAATAAAATATAATCAAATACTTACATTTTTTATTATTTTATTCGTAACTCTTGTCAGTTAGTTCTTTCCATTTCCTCTAGATTTCATCGCATTGAACTATATTTGTGAACAAAGTATAGCCAAATACTTAAGTTCCATATTTGGCTGCATACGTGCTAAATAATTGTTCTGTTTTTGTTTGAATTTGTAATTATGTTTACCTGAATGTATGTATATGTAATAATGTAATAATGTAACCTTTTTCTCTGCTCCATAGGATTTAATAGTTTTCACATGTGTTCATCAAATATATGAGATGTCATTTTGTAAACTACATTAAATTTTGTACTTGAAAGTTGTTTTTCTGCGTATGCTATACTTGGAAGAGATTCATTCATGATTTCATTACATAATCATATTCAAAACTAAAATTAGAATAGACAATTGCTGTTCGGTGTGAGCCAAGGCTCCGTATTGAAGGCCGTACTTTGACATATAATGGTTTACTTTTACAAATTGTGACTTGGATGGAGAGTTGTCTCATTGGCACTCATACCACATCTTCTTATGTCTACTTATACTAAGCTTACTCAAAAGCCAGAAATACACCTTTGTCTTGAAAGTCTACAAATTTCATTTTGGATTAGTCCTATGTTTTGGAATCAAAATGCATAAGTTTGTTTTTAATTATAATCGCATTTTACTCCCGAGGCCCGTGACACAACCAACGAACAATGCCTGGTTCTGATCTTAATATGTTCTTAATTTCTATACCCTCTTTAATTAGAACAATCTAATTAGAATTTAAAATGACATTGTATTTACGTATAATTTATACTTTTTTCTCATAAAACTACAATTATATAGTTATGGAGAACGTATATGAAAACATAACTATAAGGTACAATTATTACATGCATGTGTATCAATACAATGAAATTAACTTGGAGGACTGACTATCACATTTATAACTTTGATAAATTTACATAATTTTTCTAATATTACAATATTTGATGGGTTAAACAGTTGATCAAATTTATAGATATTAGGGTTTGACCAACAGTACAGTTGTAAACAAATTTTTCTTTCTAACTCAAATGTTCTACAATTCATAATGGAATGGTACTCGTCACCGATGTCGTTTGAGTCACAGAGTTTGCAGACTTTGTCTTCTCTCGGTAAACCCTGCCACCTTCCAGACTCAAATGGCAGATGGTGACTACATGTACCACATCTATATTTTCACAATGTATAAATGAAATTATAAGGTGAAATGAAAAATGTTTTTCAAATTGTAAATTGTTTTTAAAAATAGGATAACATATAATAGTTTTGGGCGATTCTGCAACAAAAGCAAATCATTCTTTTTGAAACTGGTCTTTGAGTTTTTGCTCAATACTTTTTAACACCCATTTATCAGAAAACTGTGCATTCCATATATTATACATACCATAATTATGAAAATTATCTTTTATATATGATATCCACTTAATTTCTGTTCCGTTAAATCATTATAATATAAAAACATAAGTTTCTATAATACAACACAAATTTTACCTTCTTTTCCATTAAGGAGTCTACTCCAGAAATTTTTTATTCGCAACTTTACAGACACAGTAATGGGGTATCTGCCTTGCTCTGAATACACTATGAAATTTGGAGTAGACTGTTTTAAATGTATTGTATTGACACAGTTGTCATTGACCTTAATATACTAAAAACTTTAATTAAGACAAATTGTTACCGATTGTGTTACTTACATTTTCTGATCAAGAACAAAAAAATGTGTGTTATGAAATAAATAAATGCAAAATGAGTGTTCATCATAACAACCAAATATATATACTGTGATCTTTAGACAAAACGTACTCAAAATGTACAATAAACATTTGAACGAAATAACACTAAGTCTTGATTTTCGTGCCCCCCGAAGGACTTTTCGAGATTTACCTTCATCGGGAATGTTCAAACCAAATAGGACATTAAAAAATCGCCAAGTTCATTTAAGGGAGCTACCATTTGATTTTTAGGGGGGGGGGGCTAGGATGAAATTTGAAAAAAGGCAGGACAGGAGTTTTGAGTAAAAAAAAGGCAGGATGAGCAACTTGACAAAAAAATAAAAAGTCAGGACAGAGATTACAACTAAAAAAAATGCAGGACCAAATTTTTCATCCCCCCTCCCCATAAAAATCAAATGGTAGCTCCCTAAGTTAACTTTGCCTGAGGGAGTTGGAACCTTAGTTTCTAAATGATTTTTTGGAATTGGAATTATTGGAATGTATAGTCAGCGTCTATATGAACGACATGCGTTCTTTGTAATTAATACTTTCATAAATCAAAACATCGCCGTCGAATTCTCCTTGATATGCAACCACGTGCAATCAATAACTTTGATCTTTGAGAGTCAAACTTGTCTATTATAATATGTAAAGAATAAACAGAAAAGAAATGAACATCTTTATTTGTGAAACAGATGACCATACACTAGTTATGTTCAATTTGTCTTCAGCAAATTCACATCTTCACTTTTCACCGAATGCGACAAGCCATGAGCAGCAAGACGGTTGTCACTTGTGGATTTCTTACCCTTCCGGATCACCCGAGTCCGCTGCTGTATTTGATGAAGTTCTAGTTTCGAAGTTTTAGTTTTAAAATTAGTTTTGTGAACCGTTGTCTCTCTATGCGAGTTTTTTTTTTTTTTTTTGGTAATTTATGGTCATAACGTTGTTACTCCTATACTATTAATTTTGATTGCCTCTTGATATATCTATTTCATTTTGCCTGTTAAAAAAAAAAATTGATAAATATTCGTGTCTATAAACGCGTTTCAGTTGTTACGATTCCTTTTTTGTCTATAAAAAGGGTATGGCTAATTTCCCGTATATGTATTACACACAGACAACAGTGAAGTTAATTACGAAACCCAATAGAATCTGAATATTTAAGAATCTTAATAATATACCTTAAAATTTAACAATAATCTTTAAATGTTAATCGACTCAGTAGATCGCTGAAAAAGGTTTATTGATACATTATTGCAGTGTTTATATGTGTTTATCAATTTTTAACCGCAGGACACCCCGGAACCAAACAGAATTAATTTGTGCCTAAAGTTTTACTTTCTGTATAAAAATAAGGAGTTGTCTCATTGGCAATCATACCACATCTTCTTATATTTCAGTATAAGGAGATTTGAGATATATAGAGGTCAATAAGCTCTACATCACCGAGTCTAAACAGTTGTTAATATAATCAGAGACATATATACACAGAGATAGGCAACTTCAAAAGTGGTCTGCGAAATCAAATTCAACGATCGCGATGCATTCAGAGAATATCGCAACCGACTTACTACGATTGTTATTTTACATCAATTATTTCAAAAAAGCATAATGTAAGTAAAAAACTATATATTTTAATTTTTTATATTATTTACTTTCTCCTTTTCAGTTTGTAGCATTTCTTAGGTGGAAATATTGTGACGATTAACGTTTTAATTAAGTCTTTTATAAGAGGAAAATTGGATCAACACGATACATTACGAAATGGAACACGGTCTTATTTCTTGGTTAAAACTTTATCATTCTAAAAGAAAAAGAAAATATTTGTCAGATGAAATAGTTTCCTAAGTCATACAGGCTCAGTCTGTAGAGTTTGATTTTTTTAATATTTCATCCACTTTGATGTTATTTACAATAATAAAAAAAACAGTATTATAGCTGTCGGCCATGTTAATTCAATTATTTATACATACAGGCTTTGTACTTAACTTTCTGGTTAAAACTTGTTCATCTTCAGAGAATGATTGTACTAAGCACATGATTTACTGTCGTAAGTCATACAGGCTCAGCGTATAGAGTTTAATTCTTTTTAAATATTTCACACACTTTGATGTGATTTATGATAAAAAAAAAAATCAGTATTGTAGCTGTCGGCCATGTTGATTTGGTTATTCATATAGATCATAGTGACCTCTGTTCTTAAGTTTCTGGTTAAAACTTGTTCATCTTCAGAGAATGATTGAACTTATTACATGAATTACTTTCCTAAGTCATACATTTTCACTGAACTAGTACACATTTTTATTAAGGGGCCAGCAGAAGCCCGCCTCCGGGTGCGGGATTTTCTCGCTGTGTTGAAGACCCGTTGGTGGCCTTTGACCGTTTCTTGCTCTTTGGTCGGGTTGTTCTCTCTTTGACACATCCCTCATTTCCATTCTCAATTTTATTAGTCTATAGAGGTTGAACTTTTGAATATTTCACCCACTTTGATGTAATTTACAATAAAAATATCTGTAAAATAGCTGTAGGCCATGTTGATTTTTGATTTTTTTTTTTTTAATTTCTTTATTTTTCATGATGAAACATGTGAAATTACATACTACAGTATTAGACACAAAATAAGTAGCACTTGTAAGTTCGATCAAGTCATAATGATATAATAAGATATATATATATTACAATTGATTTAGTTAATCAAAAGCTACTTCTAAAACTTGCCACTTCTGATCCATTTTTACTTTTTGTGCAGGGGTTGAAAAACAAACAGAATATTTTTCTGTATTGGTCCAAAATTTTAAATATTCTATCCCACCATATTTTGTGGGCAATATGATCTTACATCTACATTTGTAAATATAGTATTTAAGTAGCAATAAAATATTATTTACTGTTTTACTGTTGGCACAATCCTCAGACACACCTAAAATTACTTCTTTTGCGCTAAAAGGCAAGAAAATGTCATAATTTCTAATCCAGTCTATCATGGATAGCCAGAAATTTGTACAACATTACATTCTAAAAAATATGAAAAAAAATCTTCTCTAATTTTTGAACAAAATGTAGTCATACTTTAGTTTCTTTTAATTTACATTTCGATAAATATGAATTACATGGTAGAATCCTATGAACAATCTTAAAAAAGAAATTTTGTAAAAACGAATTTCTGGTTATGATAAAAAGCATGGAGTAGATAGTATTCCAATCTTCAATCTGCATATTCAAATCTATTTCCAATGGTATACGAGGAGATAAAGCTAATACTTTGTCATCTTCCAAAAAGTAATTTATAGAATTTTGGTTCCTTTTTATCTTTATGTACCAATTTATTTTCAGTATTGTCCAATTTAGAGCTACCTTCGATCATACTTTTCCATCTATTTGTAATTGCACTTATAATACCATTAAGCCAAGATATTTTTACACTAGAG